TCAATCCTTTTGTGGTAGAGTCATAGCATCTCAAATATTTGCCCTGCACAGAGTTTGATCCAAAAATATTCCTCTGATCGGCTGCAAGAACACTTTTAACTCGAAGACGTAAATGATGCGACACTAGCGCCACCTAGCGGATGATGCACTAAGTGTCCATTTTTGCGGTAGTCAATATGTTTTGCTCCAACTGCACTCAACGAAAGTGTTATTTAATACTACTAGCATGTAATATTATGTTTATTTTTAAAAGGATATATGAAGGACTTAACAGAATTACTTTGATTTAGATTTAAATTAAAAAAATTCAAAACTAAGAATTTTTTTACATCTTTTAAACTACAAGCAATTTTAGAGTAATCCTATGTAAAGTTGTAGTCCTCTTCATGACAAACTTGCATTTTATGACCAATTTTAATGTTTAATGTCAGTATAAAAAATGTAAGCGCAAAATATTTTGGACCTTTGCGACAAGTCAGTTTACATAAACTTGTCGCAGACTTTGGGTTACTTTGTCTCTTTAGGGAGGCTAACTTTAAAAAAGAGGAAACTTGCATAAATTTTTAAACAGCGAACAACTATACCATTTAAAGTAAAGCCAACTGTATTAGGTATAAACCTTAAACGTTTGGTTTTAACCTGATACTTTTTTTAAAGGGAGACGACAAAAAATTCATCGTAAACCTCAACTGCTTTAAGGGGGGACCCTGGTGAAAAAATCGCCAAAATTGCCAAAAATGGTATTTTTAAAGTTTATAGATAAATACGTGCATAGAAGCTTTCAGATTCAACAGGTTGAACACCTTTAAGCTAAGTGGATAGTTTCTTTATCATTTGGATGGAAATAACATTGAGATCAGTTGTCGTTGGCTTCTACGCTCAACTTCACAGCTTTCCTCAGTCGACAAAAAATTTTGTCGTAGAAAGACTTCCTGCGTTCCTGGTTGACACCTACATGAGTCGTATTGCATGGACTCTATTCATTGATGACTTGTCGACAAATTTTAGTGACGGAATCTTGATATCAGCCCTACTTTTTTTAAAACACACCTAAAAGTTTGAAAAAAGGGAAAAAAATCACTTTTTTTTAATGTTAAAATTTGAAAACCCATATCTCAGGACAGAAGTTGAATTTGAAAATTCCGTCACTAAAATCTCTTCAATACATCTTTAGGATAACCCAAAAAAAATTTCAAGACTTTCCGTCCCACTGAAAGACGCAGGAAGATTTTTCCCCAACGCTCTAATAAACACTAAAAAGCCACTTTTCTCAGAGACCGTTCAACATTTTGGATTGAATTTTGTTTTGGGAACTCATCATAATGAACCTAATAATTAAGCAAAGTTTCAACTTTCTGGGATTATTTTGAAGCCTACTTGAAAGTTTCACCAGGGTCCCCCCTTAAAACCAGCCACACAATCAAGTCTGCACTGAGAAAACCTTACAAACCATTTGAGGCCTTGCTAAGAAAAGCAGCTTGTTAAAACAAAGTATTTTGGAGCATACATAAGCCTTTAAAGAAACTACTTCGTAATTTACTAACTTTTTCTTCGTGCAACAAAGTAACTTAGTTTTTGGTACTATGAATGCTCAAAATACTTGATCCATAAACCGGAAGAAGGGGATAACTCAATTTTCATCATTTTTCAGGAGAAACGAAAAACTGTTTGCAAGGGTAAACTTAATGCAATCAGATGAATGATGCAGTTGCATTTCTGTCGAGGAAGCCTAGGAAATAACTGAAAATTATCAAAAGCGCAAGCATCCTTCTGTAGACGGTTTCTGTGATGTAAATCTTAACGTTGACATTGATGACGGAACCATGTTAACTTAGTTCTCCCAAACAAGGTGGAATTTGGGGAAAATTCAAGAGGAGCTGAGGTCTGCATAGAGTCCGTATTTCTGTGGTACATAACGGGAACCAGCCACACAATAAAATCTGCACTGGGAAAGCCTTACAAACTATTTGAGGCCTTAAATAGAAAAGCAGCTTGTTGCATCAAAGTATTTTGAGCATACAGAAGCTCACAAAGACAATACCTAATGATTTAAGAACTTTATATTCGTATAAGAAAGCAAATTGGTTTGCACCATGAATGCTCAAAATACTTTGTAAGGTTTTTAGCGCGTGAAAAGGACAATATGAAGACCCTTTATATCAACTTTGAGGAAAACTTTAAAAAAATCACAGCGTTCAGTACTTTTAGTATGTTTTAATGGTTTCTAAGACAATAAAAGAGACAGGTCTACGATTGTGAGTGAAACGAAAGATGTGTGTGTACTATCGACATCAAAACAATAACATAAAACAAGCAATGCAAACTGAACGTCAGGCTGTAGGAATTGAAAAGCTAAGTGACATAAAAAACGAGTTCTCGGTTTAGAAAACCTAACTCACGAATCAAACAAGAAAGAGATTCAGCAGACAAGCTTTCTGTCTCACCAAACCAAAAATTATGTTCAAAACAACGACATAATTTCACTTTTAATGATACGTATGGAGCAAAGAAAATCCCATCTTTTATCCTTTCAAGGTGTTATCTTGGTTACCACATTACATATTACATACGAGAATCATCTATCCACACCGTACAAACACCGATGTGCACGATCGGTTCAGGGACAGGTCAGCACAGCCACGGCAACAGGACGTCAGGCGGTGGAGCTCAATAAAATAATTATTATTATTTACATAATTTTGTGGCTGGTTCCTGTTATGTCAAACACACCCAATTTCCTGCTGAGAAATGTCGTGCAGACGGTATGTTACCACAGGGAGTTCGTTTACTTTTTTGGACCTAGCTCCTTTTTCCATCTAAGTTGTTTAAACTAAGGGGAATTACGCTGACTTGATCCCTTTTACAATTGATTCTTGTTCGGCATGTATGCACTCGTGAGAGCATGCTTGGCAGGCATGCGCTAGCTAGAGCGTACTTGCAGGCATGCTCCGGGTAGAGCTCACTATGTACGCTTTTCAAGTTGAATAGTAGGCAAATTTCCTGAGGACTTCAAATCTGATCTCAGTTTCGTGATGTGGCTCTCCGTTCGCTCGCATTAACGGTTTCAAATTCAGAATGTTACACATTGAGACATACGATGTTTTGGTCTTTACAGAATCAACGTCAGGCTGTCATACAACCTCGATGATTTTGGACCAGTCGTCCAAACACAACACTCTCAGCACGTTACTGACCTTTTGCTTATTTTTTCAGTACCTATGCAAGCAATTTTTGCAACCACAAAACGTATTTCTTTAATGAACTACTTAAGAAATATTCAATATTGTACTGACATTTTGGTTTTTTTTACATAATTTAACAAAGGAAATTAGTCGTACTTACTTAAAAAATACTAAGTATTATTGTTGCTAATACGAATACGTAGTTGTGTGGAGTGTTGCCCTTAGGTTAGTGGACAAACTTAAATCTATACTCTTACAAAAAATAAGTATAGTTTTGGTTAAACAGTTCTAAATAAATCGCTGTACGGCGAGAGCAGAACGGCCGGCCGGGCGCCCAGGAGCGCGGAAAAGTCCTTGATCCCTAATCCGCCGGCCGAGCGGCGAGCGCGCACTGGTCGGTCGCCACTGATTCCGCGAAGTCGCCACTCCAGCGCCACTCGGGAGCGCCACTCGGGTCGCCACACTCTACCAAAAATGTCCTGTCAATGCCGTTAATTTATTACCAGTTTTCACTGTAGGTCAACTCACAGCGTTTACTGTGATCTGCTCACGCGATTCACTGTGATCTTGTTCACGGTGTTCACTGTGATCTGGTCTACAGTAAACACTGTGAGTTTGACGCCGCTGAGCATCGAAGTACTGCAAATCAGGCTCCAATTCACGGCGTTTACTGTGGCCAGATCACAGTGATCACTGTAACCGAGATCACAATGAACGCCGTGAACTAGTTCACAGCAAACGCCGTGAATTGCATAACAGCAAACATTGGTAATAAATTAACGGCGTTGACAGGACAATTTTTGTGGAGTGCACCGAAACTCGGCGGATTTTGGTTAAAGGACTTTTCCACGCTCGCCGTAAAGCGGTTTATTTAGAACTGTTTGACCAAAACTATACCCAATCGCAAAACAGATGTTGGCTCTGTACGCCATACCCATTGACTTTGCTCGAAAAACATTTGATCCAGGAAGCGGAAGAAGAAAATAACTCGACTTGTCTCCAAATTGACTTTTTACCTTATTATTGTGCCTCTGGATGGTTTGCATCATTACACCAAATTGTTTGACCCAATTCCTAAAAGTTTAGGAGAAAATCCACATGAAAAATGGATATAACTCAACTTGGCCCCTTTTATGGTCTAAATTTTTTCAGAAAATGGAGGTAACTCAACCGAAGTCCACATAACTTCTTTGCACAAAATGGCGAAAGGAGATAACTCAACTTGTGTCTTTATGAATCTTACTCGCGACGCTCGCTGGGGGCTCCGCCCCCAGTCCCCCGCATAAGTGGGGCGCATACCGAAGTATTTTAGGTAAGTCCGTGGTGACCAGAGACAAATTTTCTAAGTAAATGTACTGCTTCTTTTGGGGGGTCTATTTAACTGCTTTAGACCATATATATATTTAAGCTACTATTACTGCCCAAGGAGATAGGTTCTTGATTGATATATAGGTTCTTGATGATATAGGTTCTTCATTGATGATTTTGAGGATGTTGCCGGTGACGGGGACCCGATTACGGCACAGTTTCGGAAATGTCTCGACTAGACCTATCGATAGGGCGAATAAAAATTTTCAGTCGGTCGGTCCCCTTTTTTAAGATTGAGTGGGTTTGCTCGAAAACTGTGAGGAATTTTCAACTTTTGGGATGTTTTTCCATTTTTCCATAAAATTTGGAATTGAATGGAAAACACCGCAAGTCTCTACGACCACTCCTTGACCCCAAACATTTATATGAGTGAGTGAGTGAGTCAGTGAGTCAGTGAAACAGTCAGTCGGATTGGGGCTATATAGGTTCTTGATATCACATCGAAACTCATCCTTTGCGGGCCAAAAATGAATGGAACCAATTTTACTCTGCATAACATCAATTAATTGCATCACGTCACAGATAAGAGAAACCCTTTGGAAATCACAGGGGCTGTGCAAGGGACGCGGCGATGCACGTCTGGGCCTGGGCCACGACCGCGGCGGAGATCTTCTTGCCCTCGAGGCAGGGCACGATGAAGTCGACGAGGGTCTCCTTGGGGTAGCCGTCGTCCGCCTGGAGCAGGGCGTTGTTGCGGCAGTCCGAGGCGGGAGTCGCGTACTGGGTCTCGGGGATGGAGGACAGGCACACCTCGATGCGGCTGCTGATCTCGTCGCGCTGCTCGGCGGAGTAGTCGGCCTGCAAATACCGTTCAAATCAACTCACAGTGGTCTCGTCCGACAAATAGTCAATATTTTAAAAATTCACTCAGATTCCAAACGCTATGAATGTAGCACGTATGGTGCAATGCGCTGAGATATCGCACTACACGTGCAATGCCACAGCCATATTGCACCTTAGGTGCAATGCTTACCAAAACTGCCCTATGCCAATGCATAGGAAAGTGGGAGGCATTGCACTTCATGTGCAATGCTTTTGCATTGCACCAATTGACGCTATACTCATAGCGTTTGGATTCTCAGTGTTCTGACTCAATAACCGTTCGGCGTGACACTGAAACCCTGACGTCACCAGTGGAGAGCTGTTGCAACGAACGCACCTCTTCGAGTGCGGGCTTGAGAGGCACGGCCATGGAGTCCACGAGGCACGCCTCGACGGTGGCCACAGTGTTGTTGGGAACATTCTTCTCCTTCAGGCACGAAGAAACGTTAGCGGGCACCATGTCCTGGGCGACGCCGTCCATCAGGCTCCAGCGGGCGTCCATCAGGCACAGGGCGCCGGGGCGGTCGAAGCTGCTCCGGTTCTTGACGGGCTTGAGGCACACCTCGATGCGCTCGGCCATCTCGTCTATCTGGTTGAAGGCGTAGTCGTCCTGCTCAAAATGGAGGGACACCAGTCCAATAAACGGTACAACGTAATTATATCTTAACAAATAGAGACAAAAAAGGAGTAAAAATGTTACTGAAGAAAAAATCTTTCAAGAGTGTTTTGGCGCTCAAAATAATGAACATTTTGCAGTGACTTGCTGTTGCGTGAGCTGCATTGATGACCCACCGAAAGTCACCATGTGAGAACGTCACAAACATTTTCTCGCTCGAGACTGGTAAACATTCGTTTTGTAAGGCAGCTTTGTGAAGCTGCTAAACTAGACCAACTACATAAATCGACCGACAATCTCTGAGGGCTAGATTTTCACATGTTATCGTTAAGATTCTGAGGCAAGCATTCAGAACGTAGCTCAATCGTGATTTTGTGGCAACTGCAGCAAAGTACTCACTGCGAAGGCGGCCGCCACCAGGCCCACGACAAGGAGAAGGGAACGGATCATGTTGCTGCGGTGTCAAGTCGAAGCTGATTGAGTGGACGGCATTCATTTGTATTTAAAGGAAACGGGCGCGACGATTACGAATGGGATGTGTTACCAGTTGGCGTGGTTTCCATTTCAAGGAATCGTGCTTGTGGTGGCATTTGAACGCCCTGAGCACACATGGAGGCAAACAAAAGCGATGCCGCAGACCGCGGTAACTTGAGACACGGCATCAAAGTCGTTAGGCATCTCATGTTACGTCGGTTTGCGATGCGCGCGATGGTGCTAAACGCCTGGCACACTGCTCTTCTTGTTTTCTTTGTGGCAATAAAAGGGTTTTCTCGGTAATCGAGCCACTTGCGCCACGTGTTTTACCTCGTCACTGCACAGTGGGCCAGAAGACCAGCATAGGGGGACAAAAATGTAGACCCTTTTTGAGCTCCAGCAGAATCGTTGAACAGGTCACGAACGGAACGGATAACCACCCAGACTGCTCTCTTACCGAGTAACCCATTATTGCTGAGGTTACCAGTTCGGTTCGAGTCCTGTTTATAAACTCTGGACCTCAAAACACGTCTTGTGCTTCGGAGTTATGGCCGGGGGGGGGGGGGATACCTTTAGGGGCAAACTTGTCATTTTGATAATGCTGCATCAAAACAGTACTGTAAATATTACCTCAACCACTTAGTACTCATACTGTTAAAGTTTCATTAATTACATTAACAACGTCTACCCATCAAAACAACGAAACAATCCACGTAAAAGCCGAAATTTTGGCTCTTTTTTCCAACTAGTGATGAGGAGTTAAGTTGAGTTGATTCTTTTTACATAAGATTCATAAATACACAAGTTGAGTTATCTCCTTTTGCCATTTTGTGCAAAGGAGTTATGTGGACTTCGGTTCAGTTACCTTCACTTTCCGATAAAATTTAGACCGTAAAACTTGAACTTGATTGGCTGGACCGGTCAAATTGAGTTGTATCCAATTTTCATGTTGATTTTCTCTTTAACTGTTAGGAATCGGGTCAAACAATTTGGTATAATGATGCAAACCATCCTGAGGCACAATAATAAGGTAAAAACTGAATTTGGAGATATGTCGAATTATTCCCTTCTTCCGCTTCCTGGATCATTAAGCGCGAGTACCGAAAATGCCCTTTTATTTACACAAGGGGAACAATTAGAGGCGTTGTAGGCGTCAGCACCAGCGCGGGCAATCCAAACCAGAATAACTTGAGAATGATTAAAGACTGTTAGGCCGTAAGTCTTAACTTGCCGCGGTTTACGGCATCGCTTTTGTTTACCTCACTGTCAGAGCATTGAAAAGCAGCCGATTCCTTGAACTGCGAACCACACCAACTGCTCACACAGCCCACTTTAAATCGTCATGCCCGTTCCCTTTAAATACAGACAAACGCCGTCTACTCCACCAGCTTCGACTTGACACCGCAGCAACATGATCCGTTCCCTTCTCCTTGTCGTGGCCCTGGTGGCGGCCGCCTACGCTGTAACTACTGCGCTAACCCCATCACGAGACGCCAAGTTAAGAACGCTTGCCCCATAATCTTAACGATGGCAAGTGTTTCTAAATTAAGTCCTAAAAATTCGTGGGTGGATTACAGTACTTAGTCTAGTCAAGCTTTGACGTCAAAACTTGCAATGCATATATTCATACATTCCCTGACTCCTGCTTCACAAAGCTGGCCAGAGAAACAAATTTTAACTAGTGTCTTTTGGGGGAAACTGACTGCAAAAGCCAGTGGCGTACACACTGATCATCTTATAATCGTTTTTTACGTATTACGATGGTTTTTCATCGTTAGGTACGCACAAATTTGCACATGCGTAATATGATTAGTTTTCAGCGAAAGGAATGCATGACTTCATCGTATTACGCATGAATTTCATCGTATTACGCTTGAACTTCATCGTATCACGCATGAATTCCATCGTATTACGCATGAATTTTATTGCAGTACGTATGTTTTCATTTTTCAACGTATGTTACGATGACCATTTCATCATAAGAATCTGAGGGTTTTGAGAACCCCTTTGCTCTTTAGTTTGTTGATTTGCGGCACTCGTGTAAATTTTGTCAGAATGTCAGAGAGACAGATGATCTTATTTCATGGCCGAGGCTGATTCCTATGAAATCCTGATCAAAATTCGCGCACCTCTGAAAGCTGAAATTCTGAAAACTTATGCTGATATTGATGGCCTGAGTTCTGAGGACTATCACAGGCCACCGAAAATATGAAAACAATTGGAAGAAAAGTGACTGTCAATCAATGGGACTGTTCGAAGTCGCGTTGTAAATTTTCAGTCATGCTACGGTAGGTCTTGTGTTGGAGAAAACTAAGGAACCATGGGAGAACGAAGCTTTAGAACCCGTAACAATGTGAAACGGTACGCACACGAAAGAGACTCGACTCTCTTCGGCGTGCCCGTGATTTTTTTATGAGTATTAATTGAAGAATATTTAATTCGTATTCCATGTACAACTTTTCGTACCTATTCACACTAATTGATCCAGGAAGCGGAAGAAGGGGATAACTCAATTTTGGCAATTTTTCAGGAGAAACAAAAAACTGTTAGCAGGGAAAACTAAAACAAAACAAATGAATGTTGCAGATGTTAATAATTTCAAAAAGCATTAGTAAAATTTAGGGAAAAAAATCAAAAGTGTAAGGTCACTTTGTAGAGGATTTCTGCGACTTATCACTTTCCGTTGAAATGGAAAACAGAGTCAGCTCACCTTATATTTCCTAAACAAAGTGGAATTTGGAGACAAGTCAAGTGGAACAATAGTCTGTATAAAGTGTATGTTACTCTGGTGTATTTTTTGGACTTAGCTCTTTTTTCCAAATTGAAATTTAAAATCAAGGGGGGTTTAAGTTGAGTTGATTCTTTTTACACTAGATTCATAAAAACACAAGTTGAGTTATATCCTTTTGCCAATTTGTCAAACGAACTCATGTAGACTAAGGTTGAGTTATCTCCATTTTCCAATGAAATTTAGACCGTAAAAGGGGTTAAGTTGAGTTATACCCTTTTTGGCCCGCCCTTCTATTCAAAAAATAGGGGGAGGGCCTATGCATTTGCCTTTGTGTCTGTTGTGTTGTTGTTGTTGTTGTTGGCGTCTGTGTACAAGGAAGGAGTTGAGCTAGAGTAACCAGATTTGGAGGGTACTTCAGGAGTACCGTCCAAACAAATAATCCGGTGGTGCAAATCCCATCCGGGTCGCACAAGGGCTGCTGCAGGTGCATCATGGTTTACATGAGCGGGAGGGAGATTTCCGCCATGAATGGTGCTAGCAGGGCACATAGGGGTATTTTTGGAATCGGGGCGACGAGACAAGATGAATGGACCTGGTCCCGACCCCATCGGCCGCTTTTACAAGTTGGCCAGATCAGGATCTTCAAAAAAGGGGGTCGACCGACTTAAAAAATTTTATTGCAGATTTCGATTGGTCTCAGCAAGACCTTTTCAACGAGGGGTCGGAAAGGGGGCCCAGGAGCCCGACTTCGTCTATTAGTCACATCAGGATCTTGTAAAAAGGGGGTCGACCGACTGAAAATTTTTACTTAAGTTTTGGATAGGTCTGGGCAAGACCTCTTCAACGAGGGGTCGGAAGGGGGGTCCAGGAGCCCGCCTTCATGAGTTATGGGAAAAAGTGCGACGGACTCGTTTTGCGCTCCTGCTGTGCCTCTATTGCAAGGAGTTGCAGTAGCATGGCAAATATGGGTATTTTCGGAATGAGGGCGAAGAGACAAATGAAATGGGCATATTCTAAGGACAGTTGGAGTAAAAAGTGTAAGGACTATTGCATATTGTGAATAGAAGGGCGGGCCTAAGTCACGATGGTACATCGATAACTTTGCTTTACCCGCTCACGGTGTGTGTGTGTGTGATGCGAGCGGGCCGAAGGCCCGGGCCTTCGACTGGCCAAGTTGGGTCTGACGCGAGGGCCGAAGGCCCGAGAAAAGGCCGCCGGCAGGCCAAGCTGGGCCAGCCCCCTGTCGAACCGAGTTGCCGGCGCAGCGAAGCGGAGCTGGCAACTCGGTTCGACGGAAGGGCGGGCCCTAGCTTGTTCCATGTGGATTTTCTCCTAAACTGCTTGGAATTCAGTCAAATAATTTGGTGTAATGATGTAAACCATTCTAAGGCACAATAATAAATAAAAACTCAATTTGGGGATAAGTCAAGTTATTCCCTTCTTCCGCTTCCTGGATCAATTGGTACATAGGATCATCTCTCCCAAAACTGTACCTTTTCTTGTGTACAAAAATATTTGGTGTGTGCATTTTGATGCCCCAAAAGAAACCCAACCGCAGCTTTACCGTGTTATGTAACAATAACAATGGCCCTTTTCTCTTCTGATGATGCAATGTTGTAAATAAAAATCAATAGATACTTCGTCGTTGAATTAGCAACATTTATTCTCACAGTGTATGCCAGCTCCATCAGCTCAGTCACTTTTCATGGGAAATAAATGGTACGTTAAAATGTCCCAGTTTTTGAAGGAATTTCCTGTATTATTGTAAGCTTATCCAGTGTTTTGTTTAATTTTCATCGGATGATGCCTAAAGGCCACTCTTCTATGCTGTACCACGCAGACTCATAATACTTACTGTGAAGATTTTAATGGACGTAAAATATTCGCAGCCGCTGTGAAAATAGGGATGAAAATGCCCGGAAAGTTTCCGGAAACATTGAAAAAAAAAACAGTGTTTTTTTCCGTTTTTTTCCCTGGCCTCGGAAAAATTGGAAAGATTCAGCCTGAAAAGTGGGCAAAAAGTCGGGCATTTCGCCTGAAAGTAGGCTAAAAGCATACCTTTAACCCTGTGTGAACACGATTCTCAGAGCACTCAAACTACTTATACCCTGTTATGATTCCTTCTCGTGCGTTTTTTTAGCTTGCTGTTGTGAATCTCGGGTTGTTAGTATAAGTTAAGTTTTAACAAAGCACAAAAGTAGTAAGTTTCATGTTCGTAGTGCTTAAAAACTAATTTTTCCTATTTTTCCAAATTTTCTGTTTTTTTTTTTTCAAACTTTTCCAGGTTTTTTTCGACCCTTCGAAAGTTTCCGGAAAATTTGCTTCTCTATCGACGGACTTTCCAGGTGAATAATTGACCACACTCATTCCGTGCCCCATTCTACGTGTACGGAGAGGGGTAGGGATTGTTCCGTACCCCTCTGGGTACGGAATGGATACAGATTGTTCCTCGTAGCCCCGTATCCCATGTTACGGACCGGTCCGTGCGCTTTTCCGTATGGGTACGGAACGAGTCTCGTCAATTATTATAACAGTGGCCTAACCCTTATGACTGTTGTGGTCGTGAAACTGTCCAAGAAAAACAGCAAAAATGTACGGATGTAGCGACGTAGCCTAAATGTTTTACAAAGAGAAAGGCCATTTCACACTGCAGGTTTGTTTATAGTATTATGTCTGTCCTGGAACAGGTCTGGAAAACAACACTACGTACTGGTAATTTACTTTTATTGTGAAACAATGACATCGCGGCATGAATCGCTACACTCTTAAACATCTACGACGTGTCTGCATTTTGGGGCTGATTCGTCACATGAAGGATTTCGGATCATTTTTCGTATCATTCCGCAGATTTTTCAACGCTTCCATTTTCCTCGTATAACAGAGCGATACTCCATAGAGTTTTTCTGTGCACACTTTTCAGTTGCCTGAGAACAATGCGACGCTGGCGGACTGCCTTGTCCTGGGACCAAAAATCGGGTCGTCCATGAGAATCATCACTTTGAGTTCCGAGTCTGTAGAGGGGAGCTGAATCTTCCATTCCGGGAGGTCCCTCGCCCACACGTCGAACATGAACTCCGACTGTCTTTTGATCTCGAACCAGTACGAGGTAACCGGCAGAAAGCGAGAAGGCTCTGAGACCTGCAATCAAACGCGAGGTCTTAGCGACAGCGGGTAGAAACTCAGTAGTCAAACTGGGCATACAGAGTTTTATTTGTTTCGTTTTTTGTTCGCGCTAGACATCAGGACCTCAGAACACTGAGAATGAAAAAGTCATGACCAAAACCCAATTTTGGGCGAGGTATACTTGAACACCCAAATTTGGGCGAGGAAACCTTCCTCACCCAAATTCGGGTAATAAAGAATTCCTCGCCCAAAATTTTAGTCATGACCATGACTCTTTCATTCTCAGTGAAGTTGGTAATATCCTTAGGCTGTTTGGAATCACATAAAATTCCCGTAGCGTAGGCTATGTTTGGTGCTGCAGACGAAGTAAATGATCGGTCATTTTGCCATAGGCAAGTAGAAACACTGTGAAAATTTGAGTCGTCATTTGATGACAATTCTAAGGCTAATATTCCTTAAAACAATGTCATCAAAACAATTGATGACATTACTGTCACGCCCATGCAATAAGTAAAGGAGCTTTGATGAAAATGTCAATTTTTTTTATGAGATTGCCATCATTTCAAAGTGATGAAAGTATCATCCACGGTTTTATAATTAGGTGACAACAAATTTTCACAGTGAATTGGGCCGAAATAACGCTATGAAACAAGGTTCGGAATTTTTGATTTTCCTGGAAATTGCCATTTGGTGTTCCTTATTGTTAGAAAACAAAAAGACCGATTCAAAATCTGAGCACAAATACGAATTCAGCGCACTTTTCTCTGTGCGCATCACTTCTCGCCAGAAAGAACGGTCACTGCCATTTAGACATGCGATCAATCGCAGACTGTTTTGTTTGGTTCCACAACTCCGATGAGATACATCCATGTTTGATTTGAAACAACAGGACCACGCCACACCTGTCAAAGACTGTAAAACAGATTAGAGGCATTACCTCTTCGATTATGTGGGTCCACATGTTGTCGGGGGAATTGTACCGCACTGTACCAGCAATGTAACCAGGATTTTTTTCGTTCAACCCGTAAATCATGACTTGGGTGATCTTCTCAGCACCGCTCACACCAATTCTTGCTTGACTCAACAAACCTTCCGTGACATTGACAAATATAGACACTTGCTCGCCTACTTGCATCGGGTAACCCTCTGTTATGCGATCTGCGCAACAAAAAAAAGAGAACACTGTGAAAAAATTTCCGTACTTTTGTAAGGAAATGCACTACAAACCTAACTGTCTACTTAGTACACACTTACAAATGCATGCTTGCAAGTACACACTTACAAACGTATGCTTGGCCAAGGCGTCAAGCGTGCGTTTGTAAGTGTGTACTTGCAAGCATGCATTTGTAAGTGTGTACTTGGCCAAGCATGCGTTTGTAGGTGTGTACTTGCAAGCATGCATTTGTAAGTGTGTACTTAGTAGACAGTTAGGTTTGTAGTGTGGTGGAGAAATACGGAGGTACGGAGAAAAGTACGGAACGTCCGTGCGCGTTCCATATGAACCCATGTAAGCGGGTACGGGAAAAAAGTATAGTTGGCAAGTACGGATGCTCTACAAACTCAAGTGTGTACATAGTACACTTCAACGTGGAGTGTACATGCATGTACACTTCAACCTGGAGTGTACTTGGCATGTACATTCCAGGTTGGCGTGTACTTGCCAAGTACATGCCAGGTGGCTCATACCTGCAGGAGCCAGCAACAGTGTACCTGAAGGTATGCGCCACCTGGCGTGTACTTGCCAAGTACACGCCAACCTGGAGTGTACATGCCAAGTACACTCCAGGTTGAAGTGTACATGCATGTACACTTCAGGTTGAAGTGTACTGTGTACACACTTGAGTTTGTAGAGTGGTTCAGGCAAATAATGGACAAGACAAGTTCCGTACTTTTTCTGTACTTTTCTCTCAAAGAAACGAAAGCCTGGTGTCATTAGGTGGGTCGGGCAATGAAAATACTTGGGGATGAAAAGAGCTGTTAAACACACTGTTAAAGAAAAAACTGTAAGAAAAAAAAAACATTTACCAACGAGCTATTTGCTTGAGGCAGCACGTGTCATAAGAACTTATCAGGGTTATCACCTAACCTAACAACCGTGATAAAGTTATGGAATGATTTCCTACGGAGTGAAGCAGAACATCTTGCTTCCAAAATGAATGATATTAGCAGTTTAGGAACGGAATCTAGTCATTTTGAAACTACACCATTCAAAGATTTGCTGGAGCATTATGCAGCTTAGGGCTCAAATCCAGGTCCAATATTGGAGTTAACTTAGTCAAAATGAAATTTGGTGTTTGTTCTTGTTGTTTCGTAACGAACGTGACATTTTGTCACGTTCGTTTCAACGTGATGTCACGTTCCTGGAATAAGACTGTTATGTGTACTTGGCAACGAATACATAGACTAAGTGACTTCCTATCAAGCACGCGGTTGAGTGTGCACTGTAATTGGACTTCCCGTCGCTTACCTGGAACGCCGAACAAGGTGACTGGGCCTATAAAGGATACAAATTTGAGCTCGTCCTCTCCGGGCTGGAGAGTGACTGTGGCCTGCTCTTCTGGAAACCCATCAACCCAAACTGCAAACTGGAGGTGGTCGCGTCGTGCAACGAAAACGACTTCGTCGCCCGTTCGCCAACCGTATATTCCAGGCACCTGCCAAAAACACGCGGTGATGTCAACTCTCGTTTCCGTCTGAAGTAAGCTGAAATTTCTCAAGTCACTAGGGTAAAATAAAATCACTTCTCTGGGCTTAAGCTTTAACGGTTTCACTGACAGTGAAAAAGAATTGATCAATTCCCATTTATGAGTGAGGATCATATTCTTACCCAAATTTGGGTGCGGAAGGTTTTCGCACCCGAGAAACACACTTGGAACCCTACAAAGAACTGCTCGTTGAAATACAAAGAAAACGGAGGCTTCGCAGCCTACGAAGGAAATCGTTTGTAATACCAACGATTTTGTTAGAAATTCAAAGGAAAAATCCTTAGAAGCCTACGAAGCACATTTTCGTAGCCTGCGAAGAATTTTTTCTTTGTATTACAAACAAAATCCTTTGGACTACAAACGATTTCCTTCGTAGGCTGCGAAGCCTCCGTTTTCTTTGAATTACAACGAGCAGTTCTTTGTAGGAATTTATCTGTGAAGAGAGTATCAGCTGCCTATATGACCAGACAGTATTCTCACCCAAATTTGGGTGACCCAAAATTTCACAACATTCAATGAATTACTTCTCTTGATTCATTCAAAGTTTTTTGCCTGACGTTGGCAACAATCCGAAGTATCGCAAATTTTCGGAGCCACTTTTGTTTATCGCCTCTTCGGAGGCAAGATTTCCTGTACGGTTTTGTGTTGGAGATACGCGTGTATCCCCCCCCCCCCCCAAAAAAAAAGGTACTTAGAAGTGTCACGGATTTGGAGTGAAACCCTACACTGCAGGAAAAAAACCACAACAAAAGTACACAAATTTCTGGCAATTTTTTTATCAGGAATTTAGTGTACTTTCCAAGTACAACAATTGTTGGACAAAGTACAATGGAGCCGGCATGAGGAGTGCTGTGCAGGTGCAGTCCAGGGCTCGTTGTGGTTTGTACAATTCTCGTTGTACTTTCTACAATCCCTGTTGTACTTTTATTGTACAGTTTTTGATGTACTTTTGTTGTGCTATCCACACTTTTTCTTGCAGTGTAGTCACCTCTCACGTAACCCGCCGGTTAAGCCCCTCACACGGTAAAAACGGAACCTGGTTTTCCCAGGAAGCCAATGGTGATTGTATAGGCGATTTCCAGGCGGTTCCTGGGAAAACCAGGTACCGTTTTTACCGTGCATGGACAACACGGTAGAAACGGTTCCTGGTTTTCCCAGGAACCCCCTGGAAATCGCCTATGTCTTCGCCATAGGGCTCCTGAGAAAACCAGGTACCGTTTTTAACGTGAAGAACCCACTGGCGTCTAGCGAACATTTCTTTGGCACGGTTGGCAATCGACTCACTTTTGTGTCAATACTGTCGATTTTGGAGGCAGTGTTGGTGAGTAGCGTGCCGTTCCAGCGCTTCCCCATCCTGCCATGCGCCACGCCCAGCACAGACACCGAAGAGCACGTGCGGCCCTGGCCGCACACGGCCACGGATATCCCGCCTGCAGAGGTCCACACCGCCAGCTTGAAGCGGACTTCCTCTCCATCTTGCAGTCGGTAACCGCAAGGCACCCGGTCTGCAATCGACAAGAGATACACTGTAAAAAAATTCCGTAGTTTTGTACGGAAAATGTACAGATGAAAATGGTACGAAAGTACGAAAAAAAAAACCACAACGAGGCCTGTACTGCACACCACACCTTATGCCGGTTCCATTGTACTTGGTACAACAATTGTTGTACAAGAAAGTACAATACTGTCCCGATAAAAAAATTGCTAGAAATTCGTGTACTTCCGTTGGGGTTTTTTCTTGCAGTGTATATTTGCTCCAAATAAGTTGCATTAACTGGAAAATATTTTCATTAACTTCTACCAAGCAAGGGGACTTTAATATATGAAGAAAAAGTGCCAAAAAGTACACTTTTGTGATTCTTCTTGTTCTTTTCAATCGGCCACGACTAGAATGGTCGATACAAGGGTTCCTACAATTTTGGCTGAGCGATAGTACTTGGATGGGGTTTGACAGTTTTGACTGTTTGTCCGTCTGTCAGCACCACTCCTGAACGGCTGCGCCGATCGGGCTGAGATATTGCAGGCTCATTAGGTAAGTCCCTAGCTCGCCACACTTCAAAATCCAGTTTTCTACCTCGATCCATTCGGTCATTTGAACAAAAAAACACAAAAAAGTCAACTTTCAATGACATACGTTTTTATTCAAGTTCAATATTATTCTGTGTTTTGGAGGGTGCGGATGACGAAAATGGAATTAATTTCGGAATGTGCTAACAGAAAGATGCCGCAGTGTGACCAACGAGAACCCCGTCAGTCCGTCCTTGAAAGGGGGTTGTTAATGACGGACACCCCAGCGGTGCCAAAACCCGAGTACTGTTTCGACATTTCGTCTACTATTTGAGTGGCGATGTGTGGGGAAGGATTCTGCCGAAGGCAGGACAGCGATGCAGGCCAAGGAAGGTGTTAACGCCATGTGTAGATTGACAGTACCGGCGCAGCATCGCGAAGCTTGTGACGACAAGCCACTGTTTGGCGTACACCTACGTTGTAGGGATCTTATGTTACCAAGACAGAAACAAGCTAGGGCCCGTCCTTCCGTCGAACCGAGTTGCCAGCTCCGCTTCGCTGCGCCGGCAACTCGGTTCGACAGGGGGCCGGCCCAGCTTGGCCTGCCGGCGGCCTTTTCTCGGGCCTTCGGCCCTCGCATCAGACCCAACTTGGCCAGTCGAAGGTCCGGGCCTTTGGCCCGCTCGCATCACACACACCGTGAGCGGGTAAAGCAAGGTTATCGATGTACCATCGTGACTTAGGCCCGCCCTTCTATTCACAATATGCAATAGTCCTTACACTTTTTACTCCAACTGTCCTTAGAATATGCCCATTTCATTTGTCTCTTCGCCCTCATTCCGAAAATACCCATATTTGCCATGCTACTGCAACTCCTTGCAATAGAGGCACAGCAGGAGCGCAAAACGAGTCCGTCGCACTTTTTCCCATAATTCATGAAGGCGGGCTCCTGGACCCCCCTTCCGACCCCTCGTTGAAGAGGTCTTGCCAAGACCTATCGAAAACTTAAGTAAAAATTTTCAGTCGGTCGACCCCCTTTTTTGAAGATCCTGATGTGACTAATAGACGAAGTCGGGCTCCTGGACCCCCTTTCCGACCCCTCGTTGAAAAGGTCTTGCTGAGACCAACCGAAATCTGCAATAAATTTTTTTAGTCGGTCGACCCCCTTTTTTGAAGATCCTGATGTGACTAATAGACGAAGTCGGGCTCCTGGACCCCCTTTCCGACCCCTCGTTGAAAAGGTCTTGCTGAGACCAATCGAAATCTGCAATAAATTTTTTTAGTCGGTCGACCCCCTTTTTTGAAGATCCTGATCTGGCCAACTTGTAAAAGCGGCCGATGGGGTCGGGACCAGGTCCATTCATCTTGTCTCGTCGCCCCGATTCCAAAAATACCCCTATGTGCCCTGCTAGCACCAATAATGGCGGAAATCCCCCTCCCGCTCATGTAAACCATGATGCACCTGCAGCAGCCCTTGTGCGACCCGGACGGGATTTGCACCACCGGATTATTTGTTTGGACGGTACTCCTGAAGTACCCTCCAAATCTGGTTACTCTAGCTCAACTCCTTCCTTGTACACAGACGCCAACAACAACAACAACAACAACAACAACAACAACACACAGACACAAAGGCAAATGCATAGGCCCTCCCCCTATTTTTTGAATAGAAGGGCGGGCCAAAAAGTAAGCAGAATGAGGTATTTTGCGATAGCGAAGAAGAGAAAGAAGATGTGGCGGTGGGGGTAGAACATAACAAGTCCTCATTTGTTTATGCAGTGCGTCCGCTTACGGGGCGGAGGCAGGTGGGGGCATCATGGCCGCCTAACAAATGAGGATTGGTGATGTTCTACCCCCACCGCCGCATCTTCTTTCTCTTCTTCACTATCGCAAAATACCTCATTGATTTTCACAAGTGCTGCTTTCTTCGACCTAACCCCTTCAAGCTGGCGTCGATTACGTCACTATCCACTTTCACTTTTGCAGTCGCTACACTGTAAAAAAAAATTCTGAAATTTCAGACAAAATTTGACTGAAGTTAATTAACAGTAAGGGGTTCTGAAATTTCAGACCATTTCGGCGGTCTGAAAATTTAGAATAGGGTGGTCTCAAAGTTTAGAATTGGGTGGTCTGAAAATAAAGATTTAGGTGGTCTGAATTATTAGACACGGCCAGTCTGAAGAAAATTCAGACAAAAACACAAAATTGTAACGTTGAACCTTCACTCCATTGCGAGAGAAGTTTTTGATAGAACTTGCGCGTAACTTATCGGCCGTTCTCTTACTCGGAAACTCCGAATATCTTGGTATTCGAACCACCGAATCCTCGCTCGTCGGCTTTGCGGGTTATCCATTACACCACGGGACCGCTCTGAGAGCACGGCTGCAGGATGCCGATGACTCCAAGCGCGCTCGCTGGACGCTGGGAGGCCACAAATAAACAAAGCGCGTGTTGCGGGAGTTAAACTGCGGACAATTTGGGCTGTTCGTGAATATTTAAGATTCTGTATCGAGCGCTCAAATATTGCGATTAAATTTGGTCAAATGAGGCAACCACTCTGACATTTCAGAACAATACGTCTCCCGTTTCAGACCCATGGTCTGAAAATACACAACCAGTTTGAAATTTAAGATCAATCGGTCTTCCTTTTCAGGAGAATAGTCTGAAAAGGCGATTTCAGACTACATGGTCTTGTACTTAGTCTGAATTTTCAGTCACCCCTGTCAGACTTTTTGTCTGGATGGTCTGAATTTGCTTTTAAGACTGCGAATGTCTTAAAATTCATCCGAGGATTCTTCTTTCGAGTACTTCTGGTCTTAATTCAGAAATCAGACCACTAGGTCTTACAAAATAGGTCTGAATTTTAAGATTTTTTTTAACAGTGTAATGATCGACCAAACTGAGCGATATTCGTTGCGTTTAAGGTGAGCGTTCAGAAACGGAAACGACAAGATCAGATATTCTTAAAAGGACCCCTCGGATTGAAAAAAAGTAACCAAGATTAGAATTTCGGACAAGGTATTTTTATAACCTCAATGCGCGAGAGAATCGTTTAGTGTCCAAATACGCGGGCAGCTACACATTTTATCACACGAATGTGGCAAGAAAAAAACCTTTCATCACTCAAATGTGTGAGGTTCATTTCTTGACTCAAATACGTGTAAGGTTCATTCTAAAACCCGAATATATTCCTCGCATCAAATATGCTTTTGATTAACTTTTCTATTCTTGGTGCACTGCATTTTAAGACCTGCAGATGCAGGGGCAGCCCCTGGTCCTGTATTAGCACGGGTAGAATGCAAATGGCACAAGAGACCCCAGTCATGAGGTGACTCACCGGCACCACACACAACGGCAAACAGAACGACGAAACAAGCGGTCGTGTACTTCATGCTGGGGCAGATGCTTGAGCGATACAGTACCTCCGAACGCAGCTGACCCTTATATACTCAGAGAACGGGTGGCAACCGTCACAGATAGCAAAACTTCCTCATTTAAGGATCAACGTTGTTCTTGGCCGATAGCGAAGCTGAGTGTCCATTAAATCAATATGCTCTGTATAACAAATCAGCGCTCTTCAGAGCTTGTTAAGGGCATCTGATTTGTTCCTAATCCTGTGAACAAATGCCTATAGATATTAAGTGTGCATTTCGGGATGCATGGCACGTATGGTACGATGTGCGTTGCACCACACATGCAATGTTCATGGAATCACAGTTTGTGTCTGCCGTGATACTACGTAAATTTCCTCCTCCTTTATCAGCTTATCGCGGACATCACAGACATCGCAGATCACGCAGAGCCCAGCCCACTCCACTTCACGGCCACTCAGTGCCTGATAGGCGCGCCGCCGTTCCAAAAGTCACTGTTCCGGACCCGAAGAAAATCCTTCAGTCTGAAATGGCATTGGACGTCGCAAATTTGCTCCACTCAAAATGTCATGTCCATTTCATGTTTCTACAGTCGGTTATATTGGAAACAATACTTAGAGGACAATCATACAAGAAGCATACACCATACCTTCTTGGTAGGTACAATTTTGTACGACCCGATTAGATCAGCCATCTGGACTACATCACCGTTTGTTAAACTATATTTTTTGATAGGTTCGAGACGCACCTGTACCACACATCACAAGAAAATCATTTTAACTCATTTTTCTGGATACCTCACCTGAGTTTCGAGGGGCTTACGCTACACTGCGGGTTTTTAAAAGCGCTGTTAGTAAAGGTTTCTGTGTGATAACAACACAATTACCAACCTCGACAACGCTGTTGTTTACTACAGACAAGTTTTCTTGTTTAAAGACGACGAATTTATTGATAATTTTTGATCTGACTCACGCTGCTTATAGCCAATATTTTGCTGTGTACAAACAACCCGCCCAATCTAACAACGTACTAGGTGTGCGCCAGACCGTGTCTTGTCGTACAAGGTAGTTTTACGCCAGACCGCGTCTTGTCGTAACAGGCTTCGCGATGTCTCGCTGCCTGTTTCTCCATACCGCGCCTGGCGTACCTACCTTGGCCTGCGGCGCTAGCCTGCCTTCGGCAGGCAACAGCTTGTCTATCGTCGGTTACTTCTAACTTGTTGCGTGCGGGGGGGCTCTGCCCCTCAGACCCCCCCCCCCCCCTCTAGATAGAGTTGCTTTATCTACAGACTACTCGATCTTGACCCTCGAAACTTTTTCACTTGTCCAGGCTGAGGGCTCGGCCCCCCAGACCCCCTTCCTTCAAGACAGAAGTGATATGCCCGCAGAAAACTCGATTTTTCGCCGTTTTTTTGAGTGCTTTTCGGCTATAAAAACTGAACCAGTTGAGCTAGGATAGTGAAATTTCGCGTGTGCAGAGCCAAGGACATGCCCAAAAAGTGTGCAAAATCTCACCGAGATCGGCCGAGCCGTTCAGCAGGAGTAGTGCCGACACACAGACACACTCAAACACACAGACAGACAGACAGGAAAAACTTTTCAACCCCACTGGAGTAACAGGCTTCGCTATCGCTCAGCCAAAAATGCTTCGAGGTGCTGCGGCAATCACTCGAGGAATTTCAAGTTACGACTGGAAATAGCAGAAAATTCCTCTTCGACTGGGGTAGGTATTGCTCTCCAAACTTCAAATTTAACTATTTACTATGAAATACTTTAAATTTACAATGAATATTGATAATGGGACTCAATTTGAAGAAAGTAAGATTTTCAGTAGAACCTCCCCTTAAAGACGACGAATTTATTGATAATTTTTAATCTGACTCATGCTGCTTTTAGCCAATATTTTGCTGTGTACAAACAACCCGTCCAATCTAACAACGTACTAGGTGTGCGCCAGACTGTATCTTGTCGTAAAAAGCTTCGAGATGCTGCGGCAATCACGACACTGCACGCCTGAGGCCTCGTCGTGGAGTCAGGGGTGTCTTCTTCTTCTTAAACTCACCCTCGCACCTACTCAGGGGCGAAGCCTTCCCAGTGTGCAGTTGACAACTAGAACTTTGTTCAGGAATCTTACCTTTGGACTCACCTTCGCGCCCACACAAGGTAGAAATCTCCCCGAATGTACTACTGTTTGCATAGAAAGTTTACTTGCAAATAATTGAGGTAGGTGTACGCCAGACCGTGCCTAGTAACAGTCTTAGCCATGCTGCGCCAGTTACGACAATCCTCGCCTGGCGTTTACACCTTCTTTGGCCTGCGGTGCTTTCTGCTGTCACAGAAATTCAGAGAAGTATGCAATGCAATAAGTAAAGCACTTTGTGGTGAAGGTTTTAAGTAGATTGTATTTTAGTCGAATACCGCAACCAACTTCTTCAGTAGGCCGACCCCCTTTTCCCCAAGATCCTGATCTGGCTATATGCTGAAGTCAGGCGCCTGGAACCCCCTTCCGACCCCTCGTTGTGAAAGTCTTGATGAGACTTATCCATCCGAAGCCGCAATGACTGTGTTTTAGTCGGTCGACCCGCTTTTTCCAAGAGCTTGATGTGGCCACCTCGTTAAAGCGGCCGATGTTGTCAGAACCAAGTCCATTGAATTTCTCTGCCCTGATTCCAAAGCCTTCCCAGTGTGCAGTTGGCAACTAGAAGTTTGTTCAGGAATCTTACCTTTGGACTCACCTTCGCGCCCACTCAAGGTAGATATCTCCCCGAATGTACTGCTGTTGGCATGGGAAGTTTACTTACGAATAATTAAGGTAGATGTACGCCAGACTGTGCCTAGTAATAGGCTTCGCTATGCTGCGCCAGTTACGACAATCCACGCCTGGCGTTTACACCTACCTTGGCCTGCGACGCTCTCTGCTTGCCTTTGGCAAGCTGTCACAGAAATTGAGATGAGTATGCAATGCAATAGGGTCAGGGTGGGGAAAAACTGGACAGGGGAAGAACTGGACACCCCACATTTTACTTCAAATGCCGTATGTACTGGCCTCACTGCAAGGCCGGTGGTAAGTTTACTTGCCACAAATTTGGCAAGCCGTTTTGAATGCCAAAACTTGGTAAGCTTGGCCAGAAAATGCTCCCCAGCTTGCGGCAAGCTTGGCCCGTAAATACTCCCCAGCTTGCCGAAATTTGGCAAGCTCATGGTAATTGCTGACAAAAGCTTGCCAAATTTCGGCATTCAAAACGGCTTGCCAAATTTGTGGCAAGCAAACTTACCACTGGCTTTACAGTGCTGACAACTGTCGTGTAATAAACCGCTGATGCCACGGAACAACTTTTGATAGTTGTTATTCCCGTGCCTACGGTATCTGAAGTAAAATATGGGGTGTCTAGTTCTTCCCCTGTCCAGTTCTTTCCCGCCCTGACCCTAAGTTAAGCATTTTGAGGTGAAGGTTTTAAGTAGAATGTATCTCATGTCCTGTCTAAAGCAGGCATAATTCATCTGTCCTTTCAGCTGAATAATCATTTCCTACGTATGTGTACAATTCAATTTAAGGACCTGGAATGTGTAACAAATCACCACCATACACAAATTTCAGGCAGACTTCAAATATGAACAAGGTAGGTTTAGGCCAGACCACGTCTTGTCGTAATAGGCTTCGCCATGCCTCGCGGCCTGTTCCCTCAATCCGCGCCTGGCGTATCTACCTTGGCCTGCGGCGCTAGCCTCCCTTCGGCAGGCATTGGCTTGTCCATCGTCGGTTACTTCTTACTTGTTGCATGCTGCCCCTTCATTCTAGACAGAGTTGTTTCATCTACAGATATCACGATATTGACCCTTGTACCTTTTTAACTTCCCGAGGCTAAGGGGCTCCCCCCCCCTACCCCCTTCCTTCAAGACAGAAGTGATCTGCCTGCAGAAAACTCGATTTTACGCCGTTTTTTTAAGATTTTTTTCGGCTATAGAAACTGAACCACGTGAGCTAGAATAGTGAAATTTTGCGTGTGCCGAGCCTAGAACACACCTCATAAGCCTGCAAAATCTCAGCCAGATCGGCCGAGCCGTTCAGGAGGAGTAGTGTACACACACACACACACAGAGATAGACAGAAAAAGCTTTTCAACCGCACTAGAGTAACAGGCTTCACTGTGGCAAAAAGGTACGGAAAATTCTGTTAATTTTTTTGCCAGGATTCTCCGTAGGCTCTTACAGTATTCTCCGTAGGGCCGTACAGTATTCTCTGTAAGTCCACACAGTCTTCTCCGTAGGACCTGGAAGACTGTATAGTCCTACGGAGATCACTGTAAGGTCCTACGGAGAATACTGTGCGGTCCTACGGAAAATGCTGTAAGAGCCTACAGAGAATATTGATAAGGGGGCTACGGAGGATTACCACAAGCTACAAGCTGTTACCAGAATTTTCCGTAGCCTTTTGCCACAGTGTTCGCTATCGCTCAGCCAATTACAGAACAGTCACTTTTACTGTGAATCTTGCCTTGAAATTTTCCTCATCCAAACCTTCAACACATTCTCATGCATGAGAGGACACCCATCTATAACATTCTCCTCTCTGATCTCTGAGAAATACATCGAAAGTAAATATAGTGGCCATGTTTAAGTAGTACATCAGTTACAAAAAAGAATTAAAAAGTTCCCCTTTTGATCCATATCGATGGAAAATCATGCGCTGAAGTCAGTGTTACCAAACAATAACAGGAAAAGTAGCGATATACATCGGCAACTTTGGCCCGTCCCGTACATTAACAAATGTGTGAATTTCGCCTTTGTTTAACCCTGACGAATTTAAACCAGGGTCTAGGGTCAAAATAAATGTCGTTTTCGTCATCAGCACCCTCAAAAACATCAGAAACAATGCAAAAACTCGAATAAAAAGAATGTTCCGAAAATACCCCACTGGGATTTGAACCCGGGTCCGAACTTCTCCGATTCGTTCGAAAGTGGCACCATTGGTTTTTTCTCGTCGCACCGATTCCAAAAATACCCCTACATGCCCTGCTAGCTGCATCCGTTGCCGAGATCCTCCTCGACCCATGTAGACCATGATGCACCTGCAGCAGCCCCCCCGGGGGCTCGGATCGGATTTGCTGCCAC